TGGTAAAAGAAAATGACGATACTTGAAGAGAGGAGAGAGAAGTGACTGGTAATGGTGTGGATAGAAATTTGCTTTTAGAAAATTTGTGAAAAAACTCCATTAATATTTATTTGCACCAGAAATAAATAATAAGTCTAATGATTGTGTTTTAAGTCTTTGTGTCTGTAATATTGAAAATTGGAAACCTGTGGATAGCCAATGGACGAATATTAACCGTCAGTAATCATTGTAAGTGTTTTTAGTAGTTATTTAGCAGTAATAGTAACATTTATCTCATAATAATATATAAATTTTTTTCTTCTTATGACTGTTTCTGTTTATTAATACATTTATGGCCATAATTTCCTTTTTATGTTATCACACCCATAGTCTACAGTAAAGTAACTGTGAAATGAGTTTTGTTAAATAACATTCAATGACATTTGGTGATGTTTTGTATTTTACCAAAAGGAAAGATTTTGACACTATATTTTTCATGTTTAAGAAAGTGGTCTCGTGTAACGTGTATGTTAGATGAGGTAATTAGAAAGATCGTTAATTCCTACTACACGGACGATTACCTCCCACTTAGGTTAATTTGCATAAATGGGCCCTATCGCAGCCTAAATCGCGCAATATTTCGGTAACCGTTCGTTTCCGACGGAAGTGCCATAGAAGAAAAGTGACTTAGAATAGTCTGAACTATATGATTTTAATTAAAATCCGCAGCACACCACGATGTAGTATTTTTTCCATATATAAAAGACCTCGGTTGCCTGTGAAACCCTTCCACTGTATATGTGTAAATTTAATCCTAAATGTGAATGAAACTGAACTGGTGAGAGATAACCAACAAAAACACCACATTAACAGTTTCGGCAGCCTTCTGTCTACCGATTCAAGTGAGGCAAGATTTGTCAAGAACAGCGCAGTGCAAACTAAATGTACTTGGCAATAAGAAGTTCCGTGGCAGTAATTACAGTAACACATTATTCACTTACAATAAACCTGTGTATACTTTGTCTCTTGGTACATCTCTCTGTTTCTCGTACGTCTCCCACCATCTCTCACGTCTGTCACTATTTCTATTACGTCTCTTATTATTTCAAACTTTTTTCACTATCTCTCACACGTCTCATTGTCTCACACACGTCTCACTGTCTCTCACACGTCTCACTAGCTCTCACACGTCTCGTCATCTCACTCTCCTGTTCTCACTGTCACGTCTCCTCTCTCACATCTCCACTATCTCACACGTCTCATTATCTCACACACGTCTCACTGTCTCTCACACCTCTATCTCACACACGTCTCACTCTCTCACACACGTCTCACTGTCTCACACGTCTTCCCACTGTCTCTCACACGTCTCACTGTCTTCACACGTCTCACTATCTCACACACGTCTCACTGTCTCCCACATCGTCTCACTATCTTCACAAACGTCTCACTATCTCTCACACACGTCTCACTGTTCCCACACACGTCTCACTGTCTCACATCTCCACTGTCTCTCACACGTCTCACTATCTCTCTCTGGCTTACACCCGTCTCACTTGACTCTCACACACGTCTCACTGTCTCACACACAATCTCAATTATCTCACACACGTCTCATTGTCTCACACGTCTCCTCTCACTCACTATCTCATTATCTCACACACGTCTCACTGTCTCTCACATCTCTTATCTCTCACACGTCCCCACCATCTCACTATCTCTCAATATCTCACACACGTCTCCACTGTCTCCCCTCACACGTCCTTCACTATCCTCACACGTCTCACTATCTCACACACGTCCTGTCTGTCCTGCGCTCACCATACGTCTCCCATCTCTCTCACACGTCTCACTGTCTCACACACGTCTTCACTGTCTCACACATCTCACACTCTCACGTCCCACTTCATCTCTCACTCTCACTGTCCTCACTGTCTCCATCTCTCTCAGCACACACGTCTCATTCCTCCACCATCGTCTCCTGTCTCTCGTCTCACTATGTCTCACACACGTCTCACGTCTCACTGTCTCTCACACGTCCCACTATCTCCTCACACACGTCTCACTGTCTCTCTCACACGTCTCACTATCTCTCACACGTCTCACTGTCTCTCACACGTCTCACTGTCTCACACACGTCTCACTGTCTCACTCCTTCACTCTCTCTCACACGTCCCACTGTCTCTCACACGTCTCACTGTCTCTCACACGTCTCACTGTCTCACTCTCTCACACGTCTCACTGTCTCCTCACACGTCCTCATCTCCTCACACGTCCTTGTTCGCTCCACACGTCTCACTGTCTCTCACACGTCCTCACTATCTCTCACACGTCTCACTAGCTCTCACACGCTCACTGTCTCTCACATCGTCTCACCATCTCTCACACGTCTCTCACACTGCCCCACTGTCTCTCACACGTCTCACCATCTCACACACACGTCCACATCATCTCCTGTCTCATCTCACTATCTCTCACACGTCCACTGTCTCTCGCCGTCTCACTGTCTCACACGTCTCACTGTCTCACTGTCTCACGTCTCACTATCTCACACTGTCTCACACACGTCTCTGCAATCCTCTCACACGTCTCACTGCTTTCACATCTCACTATCTCTCACACACGTCTCACTAGCTCTCACACATTCCCCTCTCACCACGTCTCATTGTCTCACGTCTCATTGTCTCACACTCACGTCTCACTGTCTCACTATCTCCTACACACGTCTCATTGTCTCTCTCACACGTCTCACTATCTTCTCACTATCTCACACGTCTCACTATCTCTACACACGTCTCACTAGGCTCTCACACACTATCTCACTCGTCTCATCTCTCACACGTCTCACTTCTCTCTCACCGGGTCTCTACGTCTCACTCGCTCTCTCCACGTCTCACTATCTCTCACCACACGTCTCACTTCCCATTCACACACGTCTCACTGTCTCTCACACGTCTCACTCTATCTCACACACGTCTCACTGTCTCTCACAAACGTCTTACTATCTCTCACACACGTCTCATTGTCTCACACACGTCTCAATTTCCTCACACACGTCTCACACGTCTCACTGTCTCACACACGTCTCACCATGTCTCACACACACGTCTCACTATCTCTCACACACACTATCTCACACACACACGTCTCACTATCTCATCTCACTATCTCTCACACGTCTTCACTGTCTCACAAACGTTCCACTATCTCTCACACACGTCTCACTGTCTCACAAATGTCTCACTATCTCTCACACACGTCTCACTGTCTCACACACGTCTCACTATCTCTCACACACGTCTCACTGTCTCTCACACGTCTCACTATCTCTACACGTCTCAATTATCTCTCACTAACACGTCCTCATTTGTCTCTTTGACACGTCTCTTACTATCTCTATCTCTCACGCGTAAACCCACAAGCACGTCATAAAACATTGATGATTTTCTCCAAGATGGGAAAGTTCTTCTTGACTAATTGATGATGCAATGTTAGGTGAGTTGCCAAGGACCTGTTTATGAGTCTTGTTTGTTTGTTGGTGTTTGTGTATGTGTGTTGATGTTTGTAGATGTTTTGTTATTTTCTGTTTTTTGTTTGTTGTAGTGTGAGTATGTTTGTTTGTTTGTTTGTTTGTTTGTTTGATATAGTTTGTTGTGTATGTATGCTGATTTTTGTTTGTTTTGGTTTGTTGATGTTTGTGTGTGTGCTTGTTTACGAAGACGAGGGCTGACGAGACGAGGCAAATAACATATAAACAAGTCATTAGTTTTCTACAAGGTATAAAGTTATATATACAAATGGCTATATATATGGATCACTACTTGGCATTTAAATAACTTTATATAGCCATGTTAAATATATATTAATTATTAGTATACAGTATATAAATTGGTTTAGATTTCTGATGGCCAATATACCGCTATTTATATACAGTATATCTTAAGGTAATAAATATTCTAAATTTTCTTTGTTTAATTAGTTTTTATAAGACATCAATAACTATAATACCAGAAGCTCATTATAATAATACTGGTTTCTTCACTAAATAATTACGTCAAGTTATAAAATTTATTATTTATGTGGTAGAATTTATGGCTAACATGTGTATAATCTGACAGTTCCCCTGACATGATCTTGTACCGCTGACATACAAGACATCGTATATATACCTGACAGACTTGAGGCTCACTGCCACTTCTGACAGTTCCCCTGACATGATCTTGTACCGCTGACAGACTACGAGACATTGTAATAGGACCTGACAGTCTCCCCTGACATCCTGTTGTGCCTCTGACAGGTCAAAGGTCACAGAATAAAAGTCTCTTCACTCCAAGATAAGTCAGTTACTGATGGAGACTTGGTCACTTGTCAGCCTCCCTGTGAAAGATGTGATGCTATTTGATGTTATGTGATGCTATTTGACGTTATGTGGTGTTATCTGATATTATGTGATGTTATTTGAAGTTATTTGACGATATGTGATGTTATATGATTGCTATTTGACGATATGTGATGCTATTTGACGTTATGTGGTGTTATGTGATTGCTATTTGACGTTATGTGATGCTATTTAACGTTATGTGATGCTATTTGACGATATGTGATGTTATTGATTGCTGTTTGGCGTTATGTGATGTTATGTGATGCTATTTGACGTTATGTGATGCTATTTGACGTTATGCAATGCAATGTGACGTTATATTATGGATATTATGGGGCGTTATGGGATATATGAAGTTATGTCATGTTATCTGACGTTATGTTATGTGATGTGATGTGATGTTATGTTACGTGTGATGCTATGTGGTGTTATATGCCGCTCTGTGGTGTTACGATGTTATGTGATGCTTGTTGTGTGACGTTGTTGATGTTTAATGAAACGTTAACAACAGGTGTGTTTAAGGTGGCGTTAACAACAGGTGTGTTTAAGGTGGCGTTAACAACAGGTGTTTTTAAGGTGGCGTTAACAACAGGTGTGTTTAAGTGATAAGGAAAGACGTCAGGTTAAATAAAGACTTACAGACTGGATGAATATATAAATATTTTCTTCAAGACAAATGCAGTCATAAATACTATTAAAGAGACATGACGGGGATGGTTCTGTCTGTCTGTAGGAAGATATGCACAGTGTTTTTACTAATATATTCTAGACTTGTATCTGGACATGCACAGTCAACAGCAAACTGAGTCCATACTTAGTTTTCTCAGTAGTTTTATTGACTACAGGAAGGTGTACAAAATTAGTTCTCTTAGACACTAGGAAGGTGATCATATACTGTAGGTGATGGAGAGACAGTTTCTTAGGGGAGTACCACCTTCACCTCCAGGAGTCTTGAGTTAGCCCAAGGGGTTGAAGCCTCGGGAGGGCGAGGGGTAGTTGTAGCCGGTGTTACAGTCTGGCTGGTAGGTGCTGGTGGCCGTCACGGTGTTGTACTGCTGGTTGAACACTGTGGAGGTGACGTAGTTGGTCCTGTAGACCACGCTGGTCTGGTACTCGGTGCGGGTCTGACCCGGTAACTGCTGGGTGCGGACGGAGGTGCGGTACACTGTGGTGTACCTGGTCTCGGCGGGCAGGTTGACCACAGTTGGTACCACCTGTTGGCTGTAGATGGTTGTGGGCACCACCTGTGTTGACACCTGAGTGCTCACCACCTGCTGGGGGACGGTGACGGTCCTGGTGACGTACTGTGGCACCTGCTGTGTGCGGTAGACGGTGGTCACCTGCTGCTGTACCTGGGTGCGCGTCACGTACTGTGTCTGGGTGTTGGTGACCACCACCTCGGAGAAGATGGTAGTGGTGACGGGAACCACATTGGTGGAGGTGATGACCTGGGTCTGGCCTGGCTGTGTGACGGTCTGGGTGATGACGTTGGTCCTCACAACATTTTGTGTTTTTACCACGTCCTGGCCAGGTACTACCACGGTGGAGTAAATGGTGCTGTACTGAGTACTGTCCACGGTACGGGTCTGTCCAGGTAGCTGTTGGGTCCTGGTGACAAACTGTGTCTGGTAGACGGTGCTCACCACCTGCTGAGGAACCACCTGTGTAGAAACAACATTCCTGACAACAGTTGTTGGGACCTGCAGGATGCTGGTGGAGTATCTGGTCTGGTACTGTACCTGTGTCGTCACAGCTTGTTGTGTACGTGTGACGTAGTTGACTTGTGGTGGCAGAGTGACGACCTGTGTGCGGACGTTCTGCTCGGTGCGGGTCACAGTCACTGTCTGGTACTGGACGGAGGGCACCACCTGGGTGCGGACCACCTCAGAGTACACAGTGGTGTATACCTGCTGTGTGCGGACGGACGTCTGGGTGACGTATTGTACGTCGTTGTTGTAGACGGTGGAGGGGATGACCTGGGTGGAGTACTGGGTCTGTGTGCGGTAGATGGTGGAGGGCTGACATGGCTCAGGGCGGGGCGGCAGGTACCCTCCTAAGGATGACTGCAGGGACACTCTGTTACCAAGCACCTGACGCTGCTGACGGTCGAGGGACGCCCCCAGCGAGCACCCCACCAGCAGGGACAACACCAGTAACTTCATCCTGTGTGAGAAACATTAATTTAGTGTTGCATGAAATCTAAAAGTTACATGTAAATATGAATATTATATTCATATATTTTTAAGTAACAATGCTATTATCTGAATACTTACTTGAGAAAATCTTTTTGCAAGACTATGAATTATAATATTGGAAATGAAACAGAGAATATTATTTTTTGTGTATTTCTTCATTTACATAAATATCATATTTCTGTGTTGTGTATAAAGAACACAATGTTAACACAATGCTGCTGTAGTACATAAACTGAAATTAAATAATAATCCTCATGTTATATTAGCAATGTTGTAAGTTCAATTATGTCTGAAACCTAAAAGTTCTTGTACTACGAAGACGTTTCTTAGCTGAAGTTGAACGGCTTGGCTGGCTGCTGGTAGTTGTATCTGGTCTGGCCACAGGTGGCGGTGATGGTCTGTGTGACGGTCACCTGTCGTGGTTGGTTGACGGTCTGGTAGACCACTTCCTGTCGAGGTTGAGACCGAACCACCTGTTGGGTGATGACTCGGTCCTGGCCGGGCACTTGGACCACTGAGGTCTGCACTTGTTGCTGGGTTTGGACTACAGGGGCGGGGGTGACATACCGGGTCTGGACCACCGTCTGTACCTGAGTGAAGGGCTGAACCCTGGTCTCGTAACGGGTGGTGTAGATGGTGGTGGGCACCACCTGTGTTCGCACCACCTCCTGAGGGACCACCTGGGTCTGGACCTGTGTCTGGGTGACGACGTTGGTCCTGGTCACCACCTGTTCGCGAGTAACGTAAGTAGTTTGGTAACGCGTGTTGACGGAAGTGTATGGAATGACCTGCTGGCGCTGTACCACACTAGTTCTCACAACATCCTGTCCGCGGACGACACTCGTCTGCACCACCTGTTGTACGTTCGTCGAGGTAACGTAGCGAGTGTTACCTGGTTGCCGACGACTGACGACGGAGGTCTGAACGACGGTCTGGACGCGGGTCTGTACTACATCACGGCCTGGGACGGACACGACGCGGGTCTGTTGCTGTACCTGGGTCTGGTAGTTAGTGACGGGCTGCCTGACCGTCTGCACCTGTGTGCGAGTCACCTCCACAGGTACTACCTGTGTTTGTACCTGTGTGCGGGTGACGTAGCTGACCTGTGGCACGACGCGAGTTGAGGTAACATAACGAGTCTCCTCACGAGGTGGACTTGGCACAGTGTTTGTCACGACTCTGTCATTGACCACGTTGGTTGTACGCTGGATGATACTTGTTTCAATACGGGGTTGTGCTTTGACACTTGTGCTATAAATGGTTGTTGGCACGACCTGCTGCCTCAACAGTGTAGTGGTCCGGTACTGAGTGTCAACTCGATTCACGGTCTGGACGTTGACGGAGGTCTGGACGCGGGTGTCGTACACGACAGAGGTGACAGTTGGACAGACGGGATCTGGTGGAGGAGGCAAGTATCCTGCCTGAGGAGAGGCTGAGGCCAGGGCAGCCACCAGCAGCGTCGCCGTCAAACGCCACATCCTGCAAAGAGAAATTCCACAGGTTAGAACAGCGGTGATTGGAACCCCCGCGTCTCGGCAACTCATTTGGGAATAAAGTCCAATCACGCGCCGCTCCCTCTGTGCAATTTCTCTATGCTTTGTGGGCTGACCCGAGAGGACTTTATCGCCCAGATGAGCCGCGAACCGCTGACCTGGTTTTGTTGTTACCAATTCACTAATTTATATTTTTACCTGAGTTTCTGAGCTTATGGTAGACCCAACGGAGCTCGGCGTGCTCGTCTTGAGGTGGACTGTTACTGACGTTAATGTTTCGTCCATATACTGTTCGTATCACTAGAATTAACCAGGTTTATCGGAAACATGGTTATGGGAGCACAATACAACATATTTATTCTAATAATTAAAGTTTCTCTGCGTCATTATCTTTCAGATATAATATCTAAAATTAAGTGACAAAGTGAAAAGTAAGTCTAGTATAATTTTAACTTGACTTATCGACGTAGTGGCGCTTCTCACTTAACAGACAGTAACCAATCAACTTGCATGAATTGCGAGGGCTGCTCAGGACGCCACATGTGGATTGAACTTAGTAAATAATTGGACATCAATCACAAAGTTTTCATTCTCGTTTTGTTCCCAGTAGACTCTACGACACACCCTCGTAAGATGTATATTGACGTCATAGAACCTAGTAGATATATACCTGACAATCTTCATGGCCTCATTTCTCTCTCTACTCAAACTAACCCTTATTTCTGTCTCTCCTCTCTACTTATCTATCTCTCCTTCCTGGTGTACGATTCAAGGCTAAGAGGATGGCGCGAAACAGTTTTACACCCGTAGTGAATAATTTTATAGTTTGGGCCAGGTAATATGTGTTAACCTGAACAACACCAATGTGAAAAAAGAAGAGTATTACTTCTGTAGTCGAATGATTTTGAGTACGCACCTATAGACGCTTACACACACACACACGCACACACACACACACACACACACACACACACACATACTGAGAGTGAGTGCAACAGCAGCTATAAGGGACTCGTGTACACCCCTACTGTAAACAAGAGAACCACTTGATCGTAACACATTAACTCTCATTCATCTCTGTGTACACTCCGACTCTCACCTCACCATTCATCAGCACGAATATCCCTTTACTAATTTTCCTAACACAGCTTCATCATTTATTTCCTGTTGCCATGTTTTTCCAGACACTAGTGGACAACGAGTTCACAATACACCGTTCACAGTTAGGAGATGAAGAACAATAGGTCGAGATTACGTACCTTGTTTTCAAGAAGAGGGGCGAGATGGGGGTGGGTAGAAGAAGGAGGAGAAGAATATAGGGAGTTCTTCTCAATGGGGTATGCTGAGGAGTTATGTGGTCTTCCTCGAGCGTCACGGGGCTTATATATGGTGCAGCTCCTGGAGAAACTTCAACCTCCTTCACCACCACCCCCCCCCCCACTCCTCTAGAAGGTCGCCGGGAACAGAAAGGATAGCAAATAGTGTTAATCAAATCCTTGGTGAACCCTGAGAAGAGGCTGGTTAAACACGCCTCTGGTCTGAAAGTTGATAAAAGTCACTGCACTATTCTGTTCAGGCGCTGCTCGCTTGACCGGGCCTCTGTTGTGCCAGTCACATACACAAAGATTCGAACCTCGTAAGGGAAGATATGAGGCTGAATCTATCTTATATTCTTGTGTATAAAATTTAACATCCAAAATGGCTTCATAAATAGGTAGAAACATTTCTTTAACACCAATTAGGTCAAGTTAGGTTAGTGTAGATAAAGTTAGAGTAGGTTCAGTTAGGTTAGGTTAGATTAAGTTACGTTACGTCAAGTTAGGTTAGGTTAAGTTCGCATCTTGGATTTATTTCATAAAACTAATCACTTAGGATAAGTTCTATTCAAGTATCTATGTTAGATTTCTCAGGCTAATCTCTACTGAGGCTGAATCTCAGGTCAAGTTAGGTTAGTGTAGATAAAGTTAGAGTAGGTTCAGTTAGGTTAGGTTAGATTAAGTTACGTTACGTCAAGTTAGGTTAGGTTAAGTTCGCATCTTGGATTTATTTCATAAAACTAATCACTTAGGATATTTTTCAAGTATCTATTTAAATTCTCAGGCTAATACGGTTGCCATCTTCGTGTCGTGATGTAACAGACAGGTAGATACACCTTTAAGTTTCCTCTTAGGTGAATATTTTACCGTAAAAGTCTCTAGTGATCTGATTCTCTGCAATGTGTGTGTGTGTGTGTGTGTGTGTGTGTGTGGTTAGCGGGCGTGGTAGCACAGTTCCCTAATCACTTTCTTCCCTTAACTCACATTAAACACACCTGAGACAGTAAGACTCCTTATACGGGATCTAAAAGACACGAAGAAAGTCTTAGAAATATAAACAAAAGTATGATAAAGTATGTTAAGTATGTGACAGTACATGGAGAAGTATGCAGACACACAGACAGACAGGCAGGTAAGCAGACAGACAGGCAGACAGGGACATAGACACAGGCAGGTAGGCAGAGAGGTAGGCAGACGCTTGGAGTGAATGTTCTCAGCTTGACGATACAATTGAATGTGGAGCGATTGTCTTGTGTCAATATTGTGTGAGGGAGGGGATGGTGTGCTTCATCCAAGTACTTCAGCTACCCCAGGGTTATGAAGCATCGTTCACCATGTCTTAGTTTTAGGTGCTTCAATTACCAGGTTTATGAAGCACCGTTCACCATGTCTTAGTTTTAGGTGCTTCAATTACCAGGGTTATTAAACATCATTCACTAGGTCCTAGTTTTAGGTGCTTCAACGACCAGGGTTATTAAGCACCGTTCACTAGGTCTTGCCCTAAAAAAAAACCACTAAAAGAAACAGCTTTAAACTGATCACACACAGAGAGAGAGAGAGAGAGATGCTGTTACTATGTTACGGTGGCCGTGGTGTTACGAGCAAACCAAACACCGAAGATAGCTTACTCTTACATCATCTTGACGCAGATTAGCCGTCACGCTGCCTTGGCCTACCGTAGAAATCAAACAGAGAGAGAGAGAGAGAGAGAGAGAGAGAGAGAGAGAGAGAGAGAACAAAGGAAGAAGACCTACTGTGTCACTCAGAGATGTAAACAGAATGAAATGGAAAGAATACCACACAGGGTTTATCAAGACTGACTCACCATTACAGCTAAACTCATGGTACTGTAGTGTTGTATGCGTGTGAGTGAGAGAGATATTTACTGTCTCCAAGTGACTTTGAGAGATAGTAGCCAAGAGAGATAATTCCCAGAAAAAAAAATAATATCATCACGACGTCAGGGAATAAGTGAAAGTTGGTCTCATAGGCATAAGGGACAATGTTGGCAATAGCACCCTTTGACCCTAGTTAATAAGGGATGTCTTGTTTCACTTCCTAGGAATACCCGTTTAGAGACCATAGTTATTGAAGCACAGTTAATACATTATAACATCAACGATTGCAACATTCACTCGAGTGTCATCATAACCTCAAAAATCATCCACCGTGAACATTTATGATAACACTGACTCCTAAGATAACATAGTTCTTTGTTAATAGTTTAGAGTAATGACTTGTATCTCTCTCTCTGTCTCTCTCTCTCTCTCTTTATCTCTCTCTCTCTCTTAACTCTCTCTCTGATTCTCAAATTGCCTTTATTTCTGTCTGTCTGTCTGTCTGTCTGTCTATCTGTCTGTCTGTCTGTCTGTCTGTCTGTCTGTCTGTCTCTGCGGGGTAGGAAGGGGTAATCACGTTCCGTTATACAGAAGGCTGGAACTATAACTAGCCTATGTTAACTTAAACTAGCCCATACTAATCCGTACTAGCCCAGACTATCCCGTACTAGCCCAAACTATCCCACACTATCTACTATTTCTATCTGTTTGTTTTATTTTCTTTCCGTTTTTGTCTTTCTCAGTGTCTGTTTGTCTAACACACACACACACACACACACACACACATGAATAAGTAAGAGCACTGATATAACCCAGTTTGGTGAGTCAAAGATGATGAGTAAAGATGCGTAGGAATAAGTAAACAATGAGTAAAGGAAGAGAATGAGAGTAACCATGAATAAACGAGGGAATAAAAGCAGTAGATGTTGACATAGAGTAAACAGAGGAGATGACAAACACACACAAACACACATAGAGAGTGAAAGTCCTACTGGATGTTTAGAGGGAGAGTATGGGAGGAGGAAGAGGAATAACAGTATTATTATTATTATTATTATTGTTGTTGTTGTTGTTGTTGGTGTTGTTGTTATTGTTGTTGTCGTTGTTGTCGTTGTTGTTGTCGTTGTTGTTGTTGTTGGTGTTGTTGTTGTTGTTGTTGTTGTTGTTGTTATTTGTTTGTTGTTGTTGTTGTTGTTATTGTTGTTGCTGGTTGCTGTTGTTGCTGTTGTTGCTGGCGTTGTTGTTTGTTGCTTGTTGTTGTTGTTGGTTGCTGTTGTTGCTTGTTGCTGTTGGTGTTGCTTGCTTGTTGCTGATTATTGTCATTACTGGTCATTACCATTGTTGTTTGTTGTTGTTTTGGTGTTGTCGTTGTTGTTGCTCGTTGTTTGTTGTTTATGTTGTTGTTGTTGTTGTTGTTGTTTGCTTGGTGCTGGTTGTCGTTGTTGCTGTTGCTTGGTGCCACGGTTGTTGTTGTTGGTGTTTGCTGCTGTTTGCTTGTTGGTGCTTGCTGTTGTTGCTGTTGTTGCTCGTTGTTGCTGTTGTTTGCTGCTGCTGTTGCCGGTGCTGTTGTTTGCCTTGTTGTTGTTGCTGTTTGTCATTGCTTTGGTGCTGTTGTTGTTGTTCCTGTTGTCATTATTATCATTATTAAAGCCGTTAGTTCCAGGCTCATTAAACACTTTTCACCTAGTGTTAAGCCTACGTAAGAAGAGGTACAAAAAATACAATAAAACTACAATAAATACAAAAAGGAAATAAAAAATAATAAGTGTTTGTTTAAAAGGTTGTAAATAATGTTGTATTCGTGTAGTTTTAAATCTTCGCCTTTGTGCTTCTATTCTACCCTTGTGTCGTTACCAGAGTCAACAAGTGAAACATATTACAGACTCGAGAGTAAATTTATCCGTCAAACATATAGTGAACACGACGATGAGAGAGAGAGAGAGAGAGAGAGAGAGAGAGAGAGAGAGAGAGAGAGAGTATATTCCCTTGCTTTTAAAACAATGAACCAACAAACAAACTACATCAACAATAAACATCCTGCACCGAGTGAAGCGCCACCTTACGCTGACTAAATGGTGCCTCAAAATCATGACCTTGACCTGTTGGCGGCTTCTAAGGGTTGTTAATACGTTCATTACGTGGTGGAGAACCAAGTATACACACACACGCACGCACTCGCACGCAAGCACACACACACACACACACACAGTGACTGCCTGACCTATTAAAGGAATCTTACTCCAGACAGTTACCAATACTCACAAAAAATAACCGCACACTGGAATGGAAACCAACCACAGACCTAAGAGATCGCGAAGTTTAGACACCCCAGCGTATTTTATTATTGTTTTTTTACGGGGATTTGCCCACCCTGAACCCTCATTGACCCACATTAGGGGCTCTTAACCTAAACTCTAACCTAACCAAAACCCAACGTAACACTAACTTAACCTAACTACCCAGATAGGTTTATGGGTATTTCATCAGGTGTGATAAGCTGAGGCGTCTAATCTTCACGTGGAATGGTGAATGTAAACAAACCAACAATAGCAAAAAATTATCCTTAGTCAACCGGATTCGAAAGTGTGTTTGACTGAAGACAAGTGGTTCTAAATTTACATTCATCATGGTACAATAATAATAATAATAACACACAGAGGTCAGGTCAGATCAGCTCCGAGGTTACTGTCAGAGTTACCTGGATTTATAGGTTACTGGTCTGAGGAATATGGGTTTGATGATTTAAGTGCTCGTTGGTTCATAGATTCATTGGTTCAGTGTTCACATTTTCGAAGATTTATGTTCGGAAGTGGTTCCAAGCTTATGAAGGAGATATATTTAGACCTAACTCTAACCTAACCTATTAACCCAAAAGATAATAAATAAATTTATAACACAAATACTGAAGTTCCCTTTAAATAAATCTCATGATATTTATAAACACGAACTGGAAGTAGATAACCAACCAAGTTCCTGAGTCCAGTAAACCAGATATGACAAAAAGAAAAAGAGAAATAAAAAATAAATTAAATAAAAATCCTGCAGAATGTAAATGAAAGTCAGGGTTAAGTGAGTGAGAGGGTTGACTGCGTAACATTGAGAGTTGACTGTGCAACATGGAGGGTTGACTGTGCAATATGAGTTGATCAAATACTGAGAGACGTGGACTATGGTGCTGCTATTGAAATATACGGTAACAAACACGGGGTGGAAAGGGGTGAGAGGACGATGGAGGTGGGTCACTGTTACCAGTGTCAGGGGCCTGGGAGTGACACTTTTTTTAGAGGGGCAGCTGGAGGGACGGGGAGTGGCAGTTTACTGAAGGGGAATTAACTCAGCTGAGGGACTTCACTGACAGAGACTGGGGAATTATTTTACACTTACACCTGCACTTTAATCCTACACCTGTACTTCACACCTACACCTTACTTTACACCTGGACTTACACTTTTATATCTGATTAGCGTTTTGTGAGATTCTGCACCTTTAACTGATTATGAAGGACAGGTAAGTAAGGTAGTAGGTGTAGGTACAGTACACAGAGATAGGGAAGTGTAAACTGCTGAAAGGTGTTGGAAATAATATAATAGAATCCCTCTCTTGCTCATCATCATCATCATCATCATCATCATTATCTCTCCAACACTCCTCCAATGCTCATTCAATACCACAACACTCCTACTTCACCTCAGCAACTCATCCCCACCTCCCCAACACTCCTCCAACACCTCGCCAACACTATAGTTCGCCACCAAAACTCCCCAGACACCTTCCCGACATTCCTCCAACATGGCCTCAGCACCAGCGACCCTCCAACACTTTTTACTCGTCTCCAGCATGACGCGAGAGCCTCTTTAGACCGAGGTGAGGCAGCGGTCTGGTCACTTGACAGTACTGTAATTGGCAGGTTCTGTTTAAGTAAATGTTAATGACTTTGAGGAATGGACATGTCTGAGAGAGAGAGAGAGAGAGAGAGAGAGAGAGAGAGAGAGAGAGAGAGAGAGAGAGATTTTCAGGTCCCTTTTCGAATGGAGAATGTCAAGTCTACTTTAAAATCTGTTTAAGAGGCTTTGTGTATAAACACACACACACACACACACACACACACACACACACACACACACAAACACACACACACACACACACACTCACGCACACACTCACGCAAACACACACTCTTTTATCTATCTGTTTCTCTCTTAATTTCTTCCCTAGTCATAATCTCTCTCTCTCTCTCTGTTATGACTGCAACTTGTCCCTCATTGGTTAGTGAATCAGCCAGTCAGATGCCTCCGTGGTCGTCGCTCCACAGACAACATACCACTCATGTTGTTTAAGTACACGACAACAGGGGTCAGTGTAAGTGTAGACGTGAACACATGTGAATGACTATAATACATGATAAGACATAAGTTGTTTATAATGAATCTCTAGTGAGTTAATTATGTAATCAAGTTAATTGTGTTTGAATTTGTCTTTTTTTTACCTCTCCTTCTCTCTCTCTCTCTCTTTCATTCTTCCTCTTTCCCTTTCTTCCTTTCAATTTGACTCTCTTTCGTTTTATATCAAATTTATTTTCTTCTCTCTCTCTCTCCTCACAAGGTCCACACAGACACTAACCTAACCTAACCTAACCTAACCTAACCTAACCTAACCTAACCTCAAGCAATTATTTGTATTCTGGATACACTGAAGGGATTATCTGAGGATTAGTCCCAGATTATTTCACCTGAAGATTAGTTCCAAATTATTATATACACCCCTATATATATATATATATATATATATATATATATATATATATATATATATATATATATATATATATATATATATATATATATATATATATATATATATATATATATCATACCGGTGTACACAAGTTAAACACAATGGAGGTCTTTCTACTTTAATACGCAACATCTGCTGCTGTAAACATTCTCCAAAGCAGTTCCCACAATAACAAACTTCAAAGTGAATGTTGATGACTGGAGGCTGAACGGTGATGACCACGATCATCCCTGACTGTTGGTAGTAAAGAATGACTGTTGACTGTTGGCAGTAAAGAATGACTGTTGACTGTTGGCAGTAAGGAATGACTGTTGACTGTTGGTAGTAGAGAATAACTGTTGACTGTTGGTAGTAAAGAATGACTGTTGACTGTTGGCAGTAAAGAATGACTGAATGTGATAAGATAACATTTAATAGTGATGCACAGTTTTAATGGTGAGGATTGAGATGGGTGGGGGGGGTGATGAGGGTGAGGGGAGATGATGGTGAGATGAGGGGATGGTGAAGGGAGGTGAAGGTGAAGTGATGGTGAGGTGAAGATAAGGGTTAGTAAGGGTGAGGTGATGGTAGCACCAAGGAGCCTTATAGTGTCCCCCTGACAGGTAGTGACTGACAGCTCAAGTTACAGCTGTTTGTTTCTCCTCACCCGACAGGAGTTTGGGGTCGAGGTAGTCGACTGTCCACTCACACCCTTAGACCTGAAACTGTGACGGGTCGACCCTGGGCGTCCGTCACGAGGGCCTGGCGCCACTTATAACACCCTGGGTGTTCGTCACGAGGGCCTGGCGCCACTTATAACACCCTGGGTGTCCGTCACGAGGGCCTGGCGCCACTTATAACACCCTGGGTGTCCGTCACGAGGGCCTGGCGCCACTTATAACACCCTGGGTGTCCGTCACGAGGGCCTGGCGCCACTTATAACACCTGGGTGGCCGTCACGGTCTGGCGCCGCCATAACCCTGGGTGTCCGTCACGAGGCCTGGCGCCTTATAACACCCTGGATTGTCCGTCACGAGGCCTGGCGCCTTATAACACCCGGGTGTCACCGTCACGAGCCTGGCGCCACTTATAACACCTGGGTGTCCGTCACGAAGACCTGGCGCCATATAACACCCTGGGCGTCCGTCACGAGGGCCTGGCGCCGCCATAACACCCTGGGTGTCGTCACGAGGCCTGGCGCCACTTATAACACCCTGGGCGTCCGTCACGAGGGCCTGGCGCCACTTATAACACCCTGGGTGTCCGTCACGAGGGCCTGGTGCCACTTATAACACCCTGGGTGTCCGTCACGATGGCCTGGTGCCACTTATAACACCCTGGGTGTCCGTCACGAGGGCCTGGCGCCACTTATAACACCTAAAATCAGTGGCTCGCGCGCGCTCGCGCGTGTGTGTGTATAAAAACTTTATAACGTGCCTATGAGCCGTATAAGCCATCAGTAGCGTGTCATCCTCGAACCCCTGTACTTAAGCAACATTCAGACCTGTCACTCACACAAGCCACCGAAGAATTAAGACAACCCCACAGCGTCAAGTCAGGTGGAGGAGGCATGGGTATGACGAGGCTTGGAACCTTAACTAGGATATGGGAAGGGCTGTGATGACCAAGAAGGCGTGGGAGGGTAGAGAAGCGTGGGTGTTGGGAGGGGAGGGGAAGGGAGAAGTTAGACCGGGAAAAGTTCTCTCAGGGACTCGGTTACCCGCTAAACCTGTCAGTAGCGCCGGTCACCCAACTAAACCACTCAGTAGTTCCAGTCAACCAAAATATATACAGAGCCTCTCTCTCTCTCTCTCTCTCTCTCTCTCTCTCTCTCTCTCTCTCTCTCTCTCTATGAATAAACATGACATGGAATTAATGATGAAAGACTGTGTAATAATATTGCGAGTATTCTTCAAACCAAATGTAATACTTGGTGGGAAAATGATGGGGTAATGATGGGAGGTGTGCGTGAGTGTAGGGAAGTGTTCAGTACGCACAGAGAGACGAAGTGGAAGGACGGGACTGTTACATAAAAAGCATCCGTTAAGCGTAGGGGGGGCGAAGGCGTAGAAAGTGTTGGGCGAAGGTGTAGAAGTGTTGGGCAGGTGAAAGTGTTGGAGTGAAAGTGCATAGGGGGTGTTAGGCGAAGGTGTAGGGGGTGTTGGGTGAAGGTGTAGGGGGTGTTGAGAGCGAAAGAGTGTAGAAGTGTTGGGCAGAAAGGTGTAAAGTGTTAGGCAGAAAGAGTGTAAAGGCTATTAGGTAAAAGTGTAGGGGGGCTGTTGGGTGAAGGTGTGGGGGGTGTTGGGTGAAAGGTGTAGAAGTGTTGGGTGAAAGAGTGTAAAGTGTTAGGCAGAAAGGTGTAGGGTGTTGAGCAGGTGTAGGGGGTGTTGGGCAGAGTGTAGGGTGTTGAGCGAAGGTGTGAAGTGTTGGGTGAAGGTGTAGAAGTGTTAGGCAGTGTGAAGTGTAGGTGAAGAGTGTAGGGGGTGTTGGGCAGAAGGTGTAGGGGGTGTTGGGTGAAGGTGTAGGGGGTGTGGGCAGAAAGGTGTGGGGGGGTGTTGGGTGAAGAAGGTGTGGGGGTGTTAGGCAGAAAGGTGTAGGGGGTGTTAGGTGAAAGGTGTAGGGGGTGTTGGGCGAAGGTGTAGGAGGGTGTTAGGCAGGTGTAGGGGGTGTTGGGTGAAGGTGTAGAAGTGTTGGGTGAAGGTGTAGGGGGTGTTGGGTGAAGGTGTAGGGGGGGGTGTTGGGTGAAGGTGTAGGGGGGATAAATATTCATGTGTGGGAGGATATGTGTGTATGTGTGTGTAGGGAGGCAGTTAACGCGGACGGTGGAGGTGTACAATATGTCTGATGACCATTACATACCCGTCTCATACGTGAGGAACAACAGTCACTCAGTAATGTTTTGAGAGGAGTAAAAGTGGTTCAGCGAGACGCCATATGGTTAATTGGATAGCACAGAACAGTAGGTAGTTAATGAGGTAGTGGAAGAATCTGCAGGTATATCTTCATCTGTCGTGTTAATAGACCCAAGATGTCTCCCCCGCTGAGACACTTGAGATATTAATTATTGTTTTTTTTTACATGGAGAAAAAGATCCTCGGTCATTCTTAATGTTATTTTTACTGTTAGAATTTATTCATAGTTATAAGGTTGTTATATACACACTCATAGAAGATCTTTTGTGTTACGTGTATTAGTTAAATACATTACGAGTACAGAAGAAGTACAGTTGGAAACATCTCACATATCTTTACACTGTAATTAGTAAACATAAAAATTGTTCTTATATGGTGGTCTCATTAAACTGGATCTTAACATTACTTATTTTCCCAAGGCATTGAAGGCTTGAGAGGGCGAGGGGTAGTTGTAGCCGGTGTTACAGTCTGGCTGGTAGGTGCTGGTGGCCGTCACGGTGTTGTACTGCTGGTTGAACACTGTGGAGGTGACGTAGTTGGTCCTGTAGACCACGCTGGTCTGGTACTCGGTGCGGGTCTGACCCGGTAGCTGCTGGGTGCGGACGGAGGTGCGGTACACTGTGGTGTACCTGGTCTCGGCGGGCAGGTTGACCACAGTTGGTACCACCTGTTGGCTGTAGATGGTTGTGGGCACCACCTGTGTTGACACCTGAGTGCTCACCACCTGCTGGGGGACGGTGACGGTCCTGGTGACGTACTGTGGCACCTGCTGTGTGCGGTAGACGGTGGTCACCTGCTGCTGTACCTGGGTGCGCGTCACGTACTGTGTCTGGGTGTTGGTGACCACCACCTCGGAGAAGATGGTAGTGGTGACGGGAACCACATTGGTGGAGGTGATGACCTGGGTCTGGCCTGGCTGTGTGACGGTCTGGGTGATGACGTTGGTCCTCACAACATTTTGTGTTTTTACCACGTCCTGGCCAGGTACTACCACGGTGGAGTAAATGGTGCTGTACTGAGTACGGTCCACGGTACGGGTCTGTCCAGGTAGCTGTTGGGTCCTGGTGACAAACTGTGTCTGGTAGACGGTGCTCACCACCTGCTGAGGAACCACCTGTGTAGAAACAACATTCCTGACAACAGTTGTTGGGACCTGCAGGATGCTGGTGGAGTATCTGGTCTGGTACTGTACCTGTGTCGTCACAGCTTGTTGTGTACGTGTGACGTAGTTGACTTGTGGTGGCAGAGTGACGACCTGTGTGCGGACGTTCTGCTCGGTGCGGGTCACAGTCACTGTCTGGTACTGGACGGAGGGCACCACCTGGGTGCGGACCACCTCAGAGTACACAGTGGTGTATACCTGCTGTGTGCGGACGGACGTCTGGGTGACGTATTGTACGTCGTTGTTGTAGACGGTGGAGGGGATGACCTGGGTGGAGTACTGGGTCTGTGTGCGGTAGATGGTGGAGGGCTGACATGGCCCAGGGCGGGGCGGCAGGTACCCTCCTAAGGATGACTGTAGATCAAGTCCATTCCCAAAAATTTGCCGCCGCTGTCGATCCACAGAAGCTGCCAGTGAACAGCCCACCAACAGGGACAGCAAGAGCCCTCTCATCCTGGCGGAGACAGTGTCGTTAGTACACAATTGAAATTATTCCCTAAAATGCACAAATACAGTACACACGGCCATACTCCCACATGCACAATGTGTACTGTATGTGTGAGCGTGGCTGTGTATGTATGTTAAACATATGCTTACAACCGCACTCACACATGCACACAAACAAGCTTATACATGCACACAAATAAACTCATACAGGCACACAAACACACAACTAGAGGCGATAGACGCTCACCTGTCTTGTTGCCTCAGTGGTTTAGTTCCGTGGGTTCAATTGAGAGAAAAATATGTAGTTAGTTTATTTTTTTCACTTACATAAATACAAAAGTAAAGAGATTGATGGAGAGAGGTTTTGCGGTCCATTTTGTTTCCTTAATATTATATAGACTGTGTAATAATATAAGTGAATATGCTTTAAACTGTTTTGTCTCTTATTTGTAAAGTTAACGATTACTATCATCAGGTTTTCATGTTTGGGTATTTGACTATTTGCCAGGGAAGTTGAACGGTGTAGCTGGCCGCTGGTAGTTGTATCCGGTCTTGCCACAAGTGGCGGTGATGGTCTGTGTCACGGTCACCTGCTGGGGTTGGTTGACGGTCTGGTAGACCACTTCCTGTCGAGGTTGAGTCTGAACCACCTGTTTTGTGATGACTCGGTTCTGACCGGGCACTTGGACCACTGAGGTCTGCACTTGTTGCTGGGTTTTGACTACAGGGGCGGGGGTGACATACCGGGTCTGGACCACCGTCTGTACCTGAGTGAAGGGCTGAACCCTGGTCTCGTAACGGGTGGTGTAGATGGTGGTGGGCACCACCTGTGTTCGCACCACCTCCTGAGGGACCACCTGGGTCTGGACCTGTGTCTGGGTGACGACGTTGGTCCTGGTCACCACCTGTTCGCGAGTAACGTAAGTAGTTTGGTAACGCGTGTTGACGGACGTGTAGGGAATGACCTGCTGGCGCTGTACCACACTAGTTCTCACAACATCCTGTCCGCGGACGACACTCGTCTGCACCACCTGTTGTACGTTCGTCGAGGTAACGTAGCGAGTGTTACCTGGCTGCCGACGACTGACGACGGAGGTCTGAACGATGGTCTGGACGCGGGTCTGTACTACGTCACGGCCTGGGACGGACACGACGCGGGTCTGTTGCTGTACCTGGGTCTGGTAGTTAGTGACGGGCTGCCTGACCGTCTGCACCTGTGTGCGAGTCACCTCCACAGGTACTACCTGTGTTTGTACCTGTGTGCGGGTGACGTAGCTGACCTGTGGCACGACGCGAGTTGAGGTAACATAACGAGTCTCCTCACGAGGTGGACTTGGCACAGTGTTTGTCACGACTCTGTCATTGACCACGTTGGTTGTACGCTGGACCACGCTGGTCTGGTACTGGACCTGTGTTTGGACACGAGTCTGGTAGACTGTAGTTGGCACCACCTGTTGTCTGACTTGTGTTGTGGTGATGTACTGTGTGTTGACCTGGTTGACGGTCTGGACGTTGACGGAGGTCTGGACGCGGGTGTCGTACACGACAGAGGTGACAGCTGGACAGACGGGATCTGGTCGAGGAGGCAAGTATCCTGCCTGAGGAGAGGCTGAGGCCAGGGCAGCCACCAGCAGCGTCGCCGTCAAACGCCACATCCTGCAAAGAGAAATTCCACAGGTTAGAACAGCGGTGATTGGAACCCCCGCGTCTCGGCAACTCATTTGGGAATAAAGTCCAATCACGCGCCGCTCCCTCTGTGCAATTTCTCTATGCTTTGTGGGCTGACCCGAGAGGACTTTATCGCCCAGATGAGCCGCGAGCCGCTGACCTGGTCGAAGTTATTTTCAACAAACATAAACTAACAAAATCATCCTATAATGGTGTAAATACTGTGTTGGTGTCCCGGTAAGTATAAATATAGAGTCCCCTCCCTTCCCCTCACCGGCCACTGGTGGGGTCATGGCAGCAGTAATTCAACCTCTGCCTCTTAGCTGTCTGTTGTCAGTTCAAGATATGAGTCAATTGTTCCCCTACCTCCTCCAGTATTCATATTATATTAGGTGAGTTATATCCTAGTAAGATATATATTTATCTTTGCTTATATATCACAAAATAAACTTTCAAGAGAAGAAAATATTCAGAGATGTAATTCTTACTTGAAAATAGGAAAGTACTATATTATTTAGATGCGCGAATTAGGTGAGTAAATTAACACTGCGGCGGTTTTATATTAAATTAAACTGGACTTAGGAGGGAAATAATTAAACATAGAATTTGAAATAAGAGTTTTGGATGAGCGGAGCAAATTACCATATACCATCATTAACTCGTACTCGTTGGGAAGCTATAGACTGGACAGATACACGAGTGATATGGCCTGGGTGGAACTTCCTTCATTCTTATGTTCGTGTGGTGAGAATGATGTTAACCTTCGACCTCACAAAATTCTGGGGACTCAGGACAATGTAGTGTATCATCCTCACTTCCGCGTCTCTTAACACACTCCTCAAACATAATGACAATTAAGTAATTTAAAAGCAGAACATGTCACTGATAAACAAAACTTGAGCAATTAGTGTCTTTCTTATAGTGCCGGACGGAGAGAATCACTGGTAGAGGTCATGCAGTGAGATATGGAGGGGGTCACTATTAGGTCAGGCACGAGGGAGTGAAAGTTATTCCAGGGGACAGGAAGCTACACCATAACTGCACCAGTATCACTTGTCATTTCACTCTGACATTAAGTTAAATCACAGAAAAACCTCACTCGCTGTAACGCAGGAATTCGTCTCACAAACACATTTTAATCCACGATTCGTCAAAAGTTCTCCAAATGGCCCCTCCCTTACACCCTTCTCGTAGGCGTTAAGACAACATGCAGCGCTTTACCCTGAAGGTGACAAGACACCAACCTTGTATTTCAGCTGAGAAGAGCAATGGGTTGAAGTTATCTGTGGCAGGAGTAGAGGAAGTGTGGGAGACGCTCTGGGACAAGGAGTATATATACACCCGCGGCCCCCCGGAGAATGGCTGGTGGGGAAGGACGCGTGCCGGGGGAGGCGGAAGAAGAAGAATAGGAGGAGGCAGAGTAGGAGGAGCGAGCGCTGCACCGTCATGGACTACAGCCCGGGTATGGTATCCATTTCTCACCCGAGCTGAAGGTGTGTATTTACCCTGACAACTCCAAGACGTTAAGAAGGATACGACTCCTACAACCACCTCAGAGGGCTCTTGACGACGTTCATAACTGGATGTTATTGTCGTTAGTTAATGTGGTAGTAATTGTTCTAGTTAGTGAAGAGAGTACTGTTATCGAACACTTGTACTGGAAAGAGAGAAAGAGAGAGAGAGAAAGAGAGAGAGAGAGAGAGAGAGGAGTCATGAGTTGGGCATCTCTCCCTGGCAAGCAAAACGCTCAATAAAATGTTGAAGGATGGCAGTCATGACTGGACTCTTCCCCCAACTGGTTATCTAAAGGCTTTAAAACTCGTGCACATCGTCTTGACGAGGACCCAGAGAAAGTAACACGGGGAGCTTTTACATTGAATATTATATGAGAGTTTTGTACTGTAGTTACTTTTTCTTCAGCAACATTTCATTTTAAAGTATTAAAAAGAAAGTGTCTGCTTTCTCTGTTTATGGGTAAATATGGCGTACTTTCTCCTGTCGAGTCTACTTTCTTCTTCTGCTTGTAGTTAACTGTACTTTCTCCTGTATAAGAAGAAATCTGAAAATACTAAAATCTCTATCATTGTAAATCTAGCACCCACACACACACATGTAACTACCGTCTCCATTCCCAGGTGCTTAACTACGCTACCTGCTGCTTGAGTGGTCGCTTGTTCAGCCAATCAGAAATCGAGGGAGACCAGTAACATCAAGGTCTTCCTCTGCTACTCCGGTAAGTGTGAGTGTTTGAGGGCGTCTCATTGTTGCTGCATTATCGCTTTTTTAGTGATTGAATGGGTAGAGGAGGAGATCTGTTTGGTGTGTGTGTGTGTGTGTGTATGTGTGTGTGTGTGTGTGTGTGTTTGCATATGTGTGTGTTTATGAGCGTGTGTATATTTATGTGCGTGTGTTGTGTATTTATGTGTTTCTATATTTTTCCTTCACTTCCTCACTCCTTCCCTATTTTCCTTTACTCCCTGTTTCTCCTTCCTTCACTCCCTCTCTTTCTCCTTCCTTCTCTCCCTCCATCTCCTTCTTTCATTCCCTTCCTCTCCTTCCCTCTCTCTCCCTTCTCCTTTCTTCACCCCCTGTCTCTCCCTCTCTCTCACCCCTTCCCTCACTCTCTCTCTCTTTCCCTCCCTCCTTTTTTAGTGAAATTTTGTGCCCTAAATGTTTCCCCAAATGTAAAAAAAAAAAAAAATAATTATTGCTGCGTTCCTTATTTTTTCCTTCTAATTTTCTTGTATTTATCCTAATTATCTTTATATTCGTGTTCATTATTTCTTCTTTCTTTTATCTCTTATTTACCTGGGTTCAGTTTTCACCCGGTGCGTTCACTCGTTTTTTTATGCGCGTTCTGTTATTTTGACCAACATTCTATCAACATCCACGTTCACTAATTTTTCACTTCTCTTCTTACGTTCATCACAACAACAACAAAATAAACACGTTCTTTTCAATTATAGGGTTAGGACGTTCTCACGGCGTTCACTGCACGGGAACAATAAGACTGTTGGCGTTCATTTCGTTATTATGTGTCACTTAGTTCAACCCTTTGCTCCCTTAAACCGGCGGTATCTTCCTGAGTTCTACCCAGGGAGATTATATGTTTATGTTCACCCTGTTTGTTTGTTTTGAATGTTTGTTTGTTTGTAGGCCCTCACCGATTTGCCTGACCGTTCTCCCTTACCTGTTCTTCCTGTTCGTTCTCCCTGGCTATTCTCCCTGACCGTTCTCACTTACCGTTCTTCCTGTTCGTTCTCCCTGACCGTTCTCACTTACCGCTCTCCCTGACCGTTCTCACTAACCGTTCTTCCTGTTCGTTCTCCCTGACTGTTCTCCCTCACCGCTCTCCCTGACCGTTCTCCCTAACCGTTCTCCCTGACCGTTTTCCCTGACCGTTCTCCCTAACCGTTCTCACTGACCTTCCTCCCTGACCGTCCTCCCTGACCGTCCTCCCTGACCGTCTTCCTCGATGACATACATCCTGGCGTTAATCTCCCTCCAACATGTGGTGTCGTTCAGTACATTCACCTGCCTCATGAAGCATAATTTTCACTCTTACGTCACACAGGTAAAGCAGTACCCACCTGTTGTCTCTTATGTCACACAGGTAAAGCAGTACACACCTGTTGTCTCTTATGTCACACAGGTAAAGTAGTACACACCTGTTGTCTCTTATGTCAGAGGTAAAGTAGTACACACCTGTTGTCTCTTATGTCACACAGGTAAAGCAGTACACACCTGTTGTCTCTTATGTCACACAGGTAAAGTAGTACACACCTGTTGTCTCTTACGTCACACAGGTAAAGCAGTACACACCTGTTGTCTCTTATGTCACACAGGTAAAGCAGTACACACCTGTTGTCTCTTATGTCACACAGGTAAAGTAGTACACACCTGTTGTCTCTTATGTCAGAGGTAAAGTAGTACACACCTGTTGTCTCTTATGTCACACAGGTAAAGCAGTACACACCTGTTGTCTCTTATGTCACACAGGTAAAGTAGTACACACCTGTTGTCTCTTACGTCACACAGGTAAAGCAGTACACACCTGTTGTCTCTTATGTCACACAGGTAAAGTAGTACACACCTGTTGTCTCTTATGTCACACAGGTAAAGTAGTACACACCTGTTGTCTCTTATGTCAGAGGTAAAGTAGTACACACCTGTTGTCTCTTATGTCACACAGGTAAAGCAGTACACACCTGTTGTCTCTTATGTCACAGGTAAAGTAGTACACACCTGTTGTCTCTTATGTCACACAGGTAAAGCAGTACACACCTGTTGTCTCTTATGTCACACAGGTAAAGTAGTACACACCTGTTGTCTCTTGCTTTAAACTTCCGGAAATATTGTATTGTATTAACTAGAAACATTGTGTTGTATCCTTCAGAAACATTAGCTAACCAGGCAACACCTAAAAATAAATTCGTCTATGGAACACTATGAAAGCCAGTCCATAATCTCTCTCACTCCTCCCAACCATAGTCACAACACACGTCATTCCCTATCATGCCCCTTCCACGTCATTCCCTATCATGCCCCTTCCATCCTGTACACAGTTTATCCAGGGTGTGATAAAGCAACTTGTAGTAGTGGTGGTAGTTGTGGTAATATCACCCTTTAGAGGAGAAAAAAAAAAGGTTCACTTATTTGACTTGAAGATTAAACACCATAAAGCAACTTAGGTGAAGGCTGGGGGGTAAGGCTACAGGCAAGGTTAGGTTAGGTTAGGTTAGGTTAGGTTAGGTTAGGTTAGGTTAGGTTAGGTTAGGGTAGGTTAGGTTAGGTTAGGTTAGGTTAGGTTAGGTTAGGTTAAGTTTAGCACAGGTTATAGGGTGAAGTTAGGTTGGTCTAGGTAGATTAGCATTAAGATGGTTGACCTTCAGGTGAAATAAACAGAAGAGGACACGACCTCTATTCTCGCCTTCATAAGGGAACAAGGCGACCTCAGGTGTGTTTATTACAGGCTCTTCAACAAGTAACTTACACAACCTACAGGATAGAATAACAATACCTGTGTTTACGAGAAATCACAAGTAACTTATTCATCTATTTTTTTGTAATTCCATTCTCGATGTTCGTTATACTGTGTGTGTGTGTGTGTGTGTGTGTGTGTGTGTGTGTGTGTGTGTGTGTGTGTGTGTGTGTGTGTGTGTGTGTGTGTGTGTGTGTGTGTGTGTGTGTGTGTGTGTGTGTTATTTCCTTCTGTTATTGATTCTTCCTGTTCCTTTCTACATTCTTTTCTTGCGTCATTCTCCCGGACCATTTCCTCCCTTTCTTGTGGCTTCCGTTTTCCTCATTCCATCCCACGTACAACTGGAGGTGCAGGTGATATAAATTATATACTATACCTTAAAAATTGCCTGGGATCACTCGGGTTGGGTATATACCCGTACTGTATAACCTTCTTTGTCACAGTTGCCTCCTGACACGGATAACTTACCTTCAGCAATGGTCGTGTCGATAACCTAATCAGAAAAAGATTTTTGATGTGTACACAGTGGGTGTATGCACAGAAAATGGGTGTGTACACAGTTGGTGTATATACAGACAGTAGGTGTGTACATAGTGGGTGTATACGCAGACAGTGGGTGTGGACATAGTGGATGTATCAGACAAACAAAAGATGTATACCAGACAGTGGGTGGTTGTGTACACAAACCAATGGTGGTCACTATGTAAACACTGGGAGAGAGGGCAAGACGAAGGTGGTATAGTAATTCCCAAGGTTTACACTATAGACCTGGGTGACTCCCACAGGTGACCAAGACCTCTGTACCTCCACCTGGCTCTGTTGGCTGATTGGTTACAATGGGGAATTGGATACATGGATGATTGTGGTTATCAGCATATATATATATATATATATATATATATATATATATATATATATATATATATATATATATATATATATATATATATATATATATATATCTTTCGTCTTTATTCAAGACATCTTCAGAGGCAACTGAAGATGTCTTGAATAAAACAACTAAGATGCTCCGTTGTTCCCTATTATTTATCAAGTATTTATCCACATTTTCATTGTGGATCTACATGAAAATATATATATATATATATATATATATATATATATATATATATATATATATATATATATATATATATATATATATATATATAGAATGGAATTGAGTATATGGATAATTGGGTGTATGGATGATTGGATATGGATGCTTGGTTGCATGGGTGATGAATGGTTGGACCTCAGATACAGACATTCACTTGTTTGTGTCAGCTGAAGGTGTTTGCTTACGTCTTCACTCTCAGGTGT